CATCACAGGGGCTTTCAGGGAGGAGGACAGCCAGGACTCTTTTTGTTGATTCCCTGGGATGATGTTCAGCTTAAAACTTCAGTTCTCCTTATTCTGCCATGGGCTGCTGATGCTTTGCTACCAGCAGATCTCCAGCTCCTGGATTCCCACTAAACTCCTTTCCAGAAAGGAGATCTCTCTTGGCAGTCTGCTCCAGGGTCCCACCCTTGACCCCAGTGCAATTTGGAGGTGTGAGGGGGCACCAGCTGTGCTCCACCAGAAGCAGCCACAGGGCAGGGAGCTTGCCAGGCTGAGCCACCAGAAACCCCCTGGCCTGGAGGCTTTGGGCTCAAGCAGGTGTTTGGAAGGAATCTGGTGACCTCTTAGCACTCTGTGGGAAGATTAACCTTATACCCCCACTGCTTCCAGCAGCTGCTTGAATACCTTAAGGAAATTAGGAAAGAGACTTGGCACTGTGTCATTCCTCCACCCAGCTCAGAGCTGTGCCCAGCTGGGAACAGGAGTGATTCCTACTCCAGGGCCACGTTTGTAAGAATTGGTCCTCCCAAATTTCATCCCTGAGGTTACCAAGTGAGGTCAAGCTGCTTAAGGCTGTGTGAGCCCAGTAGTGAAGCTGAGAGGAGATCTGGGGGAGAGCTGCTGGAGGCAGGAACCTTTGCAGGGAGCCACAGAGGAGCTCCTGAGTAGGAAAAGAGCATCCTGAGCTCTTACTGTGCCCCTCTGGGCTATAAAGAGGGCATCAATGGTTGCCTTTCCCTGGCAGGATGGTGGGTGCTCCTTGAGGCTGAAGGGCTTGGCCAAGGGCTGTTGTGGCTGGTGGTGTCTGCCCCTGTTACCTGTTGAAGCTCCTGAAGTCCCACGCAGGGGGTCTCATGGGCGGCGGGTTCTTGCTGTACACGGCATTGTCCCTGTCACCAAAGAGCTCCTGCCATGGGGACCGATAGCCCTTGGGGATGGCAGTGGCATTGAACTTCTCATGGGGGATTTCTTTGAGGGGACTTGAGTACCCTGTGCAGGGAGAGACAGTGTGGGCTGCTGCAGGGGCCACAGGCAGGCTGAGGCAGGGGGCTGGGAACAACCTGGCCTCTGCATGGCCACAGCCTGTTACTGGGGCAGGAATGAGTATCTGCAACATATATATACTTTTTTTTTTTTTTTTTTTTTGTACATATAAAATCTCTGGGGGAGGGTTGGGCAGACCCCTGAGCAAGCAGCAGCTCACTGCCTCCAGCCCCATGTTTCTGAAATCACAGCAAAGCTGGGTTCAGGTGCAGGAAGCTTTGACTTACCTGGGGCCAGGGCACTGGGGTTCAGCACTTTGCTCATATGCAAGACCTTCTCTGACTTCTTGGGTACTTCTGGGGGGCCACCTTGGGGTGATGCTGCTACGTGGAGCTCGGAGTGATAATTCTCCTGGCCCCCAGCATTCTCACCTGCCTGTGGAAGGGAGAGTTAACAGGCACAGGGGAGCTCCCCCTGCCCCAGCTGGGACTCAGGGTGGTTGAAAGCACCTCAGAGTTTCCTCCATCTACTCACCATCTGTTCATTCACTGCTCCTTCTGGACCACCTTTCCCAGTGTGGTGGGAGCCGCCTGCCCCTTGCCCTGGGAGCTGCAGGAGACAGTGAGTGGGTGCAGAGGGGGATCAGCACCATCCCCCTCCTCTTCGGTGGATGTTGAACCCCATGTTTGCCCATCTCCATGCCCAGCCCACCAGGACATCTCTCACCTCTGCATAGCAGACAGCCAAGCATGGCTGCCCTGCAGATAGAGCACTGACCCTGCCAGGAATCAGGAATTCCTTCCCTGGAAAGGCTGCAAGGGCCAGGGAAGGGCTGTCCTCAGACCCACCTGCCTGGAGCCACTGGGATGCTCAAAGACAAAGCGCTGCACGCGCTTCTGGCGCTGCTGGAAGAGCCGGGAGCCGCGGTTGTGGGGCAGGGAGAGCTCCTCGATCATCAGGTCCTGTGTTGTGCTCATCTTCTTCCCCAGGTCCAGCTGGGGCTCTGAGGAGGCTGAGAGAGCAGCTACAGCTGAGGATGCTGCAGGGTTGGGGACCCCCAAGGCAGCACAGACTGTGCATCCCCTCCTTGGGGTCTGTGTTCTGTGGCTGGGCCATTTGCCCACCCCAGGGACTGGCGTTTCCTCAGTGTGAGGAATTGCCAGGGAGCTCCAGAGGTTCAAGCAGCCTCTCCCACCCTGTGCATGGACTGTTCCAGCAAAAACAGGGCAAGAGGCCTCAACCAGAGCTGGGTCTGGCCCCTAGGCAGGGAAGGCAGCACTGTCCTGGGGCTGGTGACACACTTGCACCCCCTTACCATCTTCAGGGCCCGGTCTCATGATGGCCATCACTTGCTGCTGTGCTCCTGGAGCAGCTCTGTGGGAGGAGGATGGATCCTGTCAGGCTGGAAGAGAAAGGCACTCCAGGAGTGACACCAAACATGGGCACATGTCAGCCCCAGGCATGCCCCAGAGAGATGCTGGGATTCAACTGAGCAACTCTCCTGTTCAGCATCATCCCCAAGCATCTCCCCTGTTCAGCATCACCCCATAGCATCTCCTTGCACCACTCTCTGTCGCCTTCAACAGACATAGAGAATGTTCAAATCACACTGCCCCTCAGCCCCTGCCTGTCCTTTTTCCTCTCTACCGTTCTTTAGGGCAGAAACTGTCCTTGTCCCTGTCTTTGCCCACAGAGAGCTGTTGTCCTTGTGCCCCAAGTGCCCTCGGAGCAGCAGGTGCTGGCCGGGCAGGGGCCCTGGCTACTGCCCCCCCAGCACCTCCGCCTTAGCAGAGCTATTTTCAGCTGCTGGCTCCCGGGGTGCAGGAGCTGCAGCCCTGAACCTGCAGGGAGCTGGTGAGCCCAGCCAGCAGCAAGAGTCATGGCACCACTCAGCTGGGTTGCTCCAATGTGGAGAGGTGACTGGAAACCAGCTCCAGTGTGAGCCCCCTGAGCTGCCCACCTGCAGCAGAGCCCTCCTGTGCTGCTGGGACACTCGGCTCCCCAGGTGCTGTTCCACCCTGTTTGGTGCCTCTGGCACCCCTCAGCTCGGGCTGATGCAGGGCAGCTTCCCCTGAGGGCCCTGCAGTGCTGGGGTTCCTGTGGGGCTGGGGTGCCTGGCACAGCTCCCTGCCAGCTCTGAGCTCAGCATTGACCACCCACACAACGAGCCAGGGACCTGCACCCCATCCTTCCCTCTGCCCCCCTCCAGGGAGACGGTACCCTGACCCCCACAGTGGTGCTGTCCCCTTTTCCAAGGACATCCCCAAGCCCTGTGCACCCACCCACCTGCTGACCCCCATGTGGGGCCTCACCTTCCCTACCTGGCCAGGGGATACCCCAGATGCTTCTGGGGCACTGAAGCTGCTTCTCCTGCTGTGGTGGGAGTGAGGCTGAAGCCAAAGTGCAGCCACCAGCACCCGGTGGCCTCTGCTGGCCCTTCCCGGCACCCTTGGGCTCCTGCTGCTCGCCCCAAGCCGTGCTGGGCTCCAGCCCAGATGCCAAGGTCCAGCCACGGGACAGAAGTTATTTCTGGCTGAGAAAGGGGGCGGAGCAGGGCTGTGACCCTTGGGGACTGCGATGCCATCACCCCAGCGTGGAACAGGTCTGACTCACAGGGATGAGGATGCCATAATCCTGGCATGGAGCAGGGCTCTGACCCTTGGGGACCAGGACGCCACAACCCAGCGTGAAGCAGGGCTGACCCACACGGGTGCAGACACTGTCACCTGGCATGGAGCTGACCCCTGGGGACATGTAGCAGCAGCAGGAGGTGGCCATGTGCCATGTGTGCCCAGGCCACCTGGGGGACAGATCAGAGCCAGCCTGGGTGGAATAACGGAGGTTTATTTCAGAACTGGGTATACAGCGGTGTGGTGAAGGCCGGCTGTGCTGGCTGCTGGAGCCAGGGTGGGAGATGTGTCCTGGGAATGGGGGGCTGTGCTCCAGGAGGGGCAGCTGCACTGTGGAGGTTCTCCAGGGATCAGGGATGGCTTCAGCAGTGTGTCCTGGGGGAAGGGAAGGGGTGATGGGCTCTGTGAATAGGAATATGCCAGAGCCCTGGCAGCCCAAACACAACCTCCTCTCCAGAGCTGGCCCAAGGTCGTGGGGACACTGACATCCTCAGAATCGCCTTCTGTGCCAACACCTTCTTCAAACCCTCTGCAACTTCTGCCATTTCCTTCAGCTCCTCCAGTTCCCCACCTGCCCTTGCTGTCACAGCACCCATTGGTTCCTGTGTGTGTCTCCATCCACCAGAGTGGGGATGGGATGTGGTGAACTTGGGTATGGGGACAGTGACAGGTACACGGTGGGGCTGTCCCTCTTGGTCTGGGCAGGGCAGGAGGGCACCTGTAAACAGTCCCCTTTAACATGGCAATAAATAACTTTGGCTCTTTTGCTTTCTAGGGAAAGAAGGATTTAGGAGTATTTCTTTGAGAAGGAGTCAAAAGTTTAAAAAAAAAGGCAGTGTAGAACTTGGGGGTTGGAACTAAGAATTAAATTTTCCTCTCCAAAATCTGGTTTTAATTGACACCAGCCAAATCTGGAGGCTGGGAGAGCCTGCTCATGGCATCCAATCGATGCAGCCCACCCGCAGCAGATGTGCCCCCCCCAGGGAAGCAGTGACAGCCCGGGATAACACCTGGGAGCTGGGGACAAGGGCTCACGGGGCACCACCCAGCCCATCCCTTGCTGGCTGTGCAGGATGGGGCTGGCTGGCAGGCAGGGAGGGGCCGGCTCCCCCCTCTGCCTGCTGACCACGCAGTCCTGCCCCGAAAGGTTAGCGTGGTAAAAATAGAGCAGGGCCATGGGGTGGCGGGCGGGCGGGAGGCACCTGACCCCGCTGGCACACAGAGGAGTCGTGGCAGCTCCGAAGGGATGCTGTTTTTTGGGGGGGACACTGTTTTTCGGGGACCTCAGCCCCGGGGGTTGGTGTGTTCCCGGTGGGGGATGAGCGGGGGCTTCAGCCGGGCTGACGGGAGCAGGGAGAGGGGGTTTTTGGCTGGGGCTGGCTTGTCTAGGAGGTGCAGGGAGCCCCTGAGGGCAGAGCCCCCGTCTTCAGCCGCAGGCTGCTGGTCCAGCCCCGGGGACAGAGGTTGAAGCTGTGGATTCCCGGGCTTTTGGTCCCCGAGTCTTCGGAGTCGAGGGAGACGTCCGAGTCCGTCGGGGACCGGGAGGTGCAGCGCTTGGCTGGGGAGCGCCCGCCCACCACGGGGGATGGCAGGGGGCTCTTGGGGACGGGGGACAGCCGGGCCACGGGGCAGGGAGACGCGCTGGACGGCAGCAGGAGCCGGCGGCCCTCTGCCCAGGCGGCCCGGGGCATCCCGGGGGAGGCGCAGGGCTGGGGGCTGCCTGCCCGGGGCGATCGCAGGGGGCTCCTGTGGGTGGGCGAGGGGCTGCCCAGGCTCCCCAGCGCGCTGCCCGCTGCCTGCAGCGCCGGCGCTCTCGGCCCCAGCCGGGGCGATTGGGGCAGGCTGGGGGGGCCGGCGGGGATGGGGGTGAAGGGCCGGGAGCTCTCCAGCCCCGGGGCTTTGGGAGAGGAGCTCTTCCTGCGGGCAGCGTTGATGATGTTCCTGGCCAGCCGCGCTTGCATCTGCCGGCTGGCGCGGGGCTCCGCGTCCTGCCGCAGAGGGGACAGGGACCGCTCGCTCCACGGAGGGGACGTGGGGGGCCCCTCATCCAGCTCGGGCACCGAGGCCGGGCTGGCCCAGCCGTCCAGGCTGCCCGGGCGCCGCGCCAGCCGGGGCGTCCAGGTGGGCGATGCAGGGAGGGACGAGCGCCTGTCCTGGAGAGGGACAGAGAGCAGGTTAGTGACCCCCGCTCGGGGGGGATGCAGGCACAGAGCAGGGGTACAGACGGGCACCGAGGAGGGGACAGGAGGGTGCCAAGGGAAGATTCATGCTGGCACAGCCCCACGAGAACTGGGGATGTCTCCTTGTCATTGCCCCCCCTCCAAGGGGTCCCCAAAACGCATTTGACCCTGTACCCCCTCTCCCACCAAGGAGATAGGGGCAGGCTGAGCCTGCCAACAATCATTCTTGTCCAGAGTATGTCCCAGGACCTGTCATTACCCGCAGCTTCCTAAAGGCTCCCTGCGGGGGATGCTCGGAGCCCCCCTTGCACTGCCCCAGGATCCATCACCCAGCACTGCTCCCCAGGCGGCAGGAAAGAGAAGAGCCAGGTGTGACAGCGCAGAGAGTGTATTCAGAAAGAGGGGAAAAGAAAAATGCAGAAATAAAGCACAGTCAAAAGGCAACTTGGCACCATGGGGAAAGTGGCAGGAGGGCATGGGCAGAGGCACAGCTGGATGACAAGCCTTGGGCTGAGCATCACCCAGCAGCCCTGCCCTTGGCACCCTCCTCATCCCAGCACATCCCTTGCTTCCAGCCGTGCCACACGGAGCCCAGGTGGGGACAGGGACCCCGCAGGGACCCTGGGCCCGGTGCCACTGGGCTCTGCCATTGCCCAAGGGGTGCAGTTCTTCCTCCATAGTGAGGAAGCAAACGAGGACAGATCCTGAAGGAGCAACAGAAGAGCCAGCAGCAGGCACAGTGAGGCAGAAAGGCAGTGTGTCCCCTCCAGGTTTGCTTTGGTAGGAAGCTGAGAAGAGCCCAGGACAGAGGGGATGTGGAGGAGCAGGCAGAGCTTTGAGAGCTGGAAAAGCCAGAGGTGAGGAAAGGAGGGAGCCAGAGGTGAGATGCTCCATAACAGTTTCCAGGAGAGAGAAGAGCAAGAGCAGCCCTGTTGGACAGGCAGGCTCCTGCTGCCTCTTTGGGAATCCTGCACCTCTGTGCCCAGTTCCTGCTGCCTCCCCGGGACTCCTCAGCTCCTCTTGCATGGGGGCTCAGCAACGTCTGTCACCCACTGTCCCAGCGCTGCAGCCCCACATCACAACCACTTCTTTTTTCTATTTTCTTCCCCCTCCCCCCAACTTTTTTTAGTGGTTGGTTTGGCTTTTGGCTCTCCCATGAGCAGTTAGTTCGGGAGGACTCAGCCTAGCACCGCTGCGTTTTTCTCTCTGCCACCACTACTTGTAGTACAAGGAAGGTTTCCACACCTGCGGCTCGATGCCGGCGTTCCTGGTGGAGTAGGAGGGCCGGGGTGCCTGGAATCCTGCCTTAGCCCGCGGCGGCAGCAGGCGGCAGGGCGAGGCCAGCAGCGCCTCGGCCGGGGCTGCGGGGCTGGCTCGGCTCTCCTGAGCCAGGGGCAGAGCCCCGGCAGCGCTGGGGAAGGGGCTGGCACTGCTCTGGCCGGCGCTGGGCACCACGGGGCGATGCCAAACCGGGGAAGGAGGCAGCGGAGAGGGCGGGCAGGAGGCTTGCTGGGGATAGGGGTAGGAGTCGGGAAGAGAGGGTCTGGGTGGAGGCACCTCCTGGGGCATGGACCTTGCTGGCCCCTTGGATGGGGAGAGGATGAAGAGAGAAGACTGGAGCTGGTAAGGCTGGTGCCTGGAGATCTCCAGCTCCTTCTGGGACACCTCGTTCTCCATGAGGTTGTTGCCATACAGCGATGCAGGAGGGGTTTTGGAGGGCCTGCAGGGACTCTTGGAGGGGCGTCTGGAGACCATGGGTGACAGGTAAGCGTTGTTGTCGTACTTCCAGGAGGGAGGCAGGGACATGGTGGGTGATGGCGACCGCAGCAGCTCAGGCTGGGAGGGGGCCTCAATGATGAACTTCTCCATCCTGGATTGTCGGCGGGCAAAGAGCTCGGCCCCCTTCCCTCTCGCCTCAGTGAGGATGTGGCTGGGCTGTGGTTTCTTCTTGGGCTGGATGGTGGGAGACTTGAGGCAGGAGGACCACGCTGGAGCATCCTCAGCTGGTGGGAGGTGCTGCACACCCCTGGCTGTGCTGTTGGGGACAAAGTTCGCAGCTTCAGCCCCAAGGGCAAAGGGCTCATCCTCAGCACTGGGCTCCCCCTGCTCCTTCTGCTTCTTCCTGCTGTCTGCACTCTGAACCAGGTCCAGCAGGTCGGGGTTGGGGCTCAGCTTTGGCTTCTCCAAGAAGGTGAACATGGACTTTCTGCTGGCTCTGCGTGCAGCCGACTCCTCCAGGATCCCTGTTTTGGGCAAGGGGTTTGGTCCGCTCACCCCGCAGCCCAGGAGGGGATCCGGCAGCACCTTCTGCTCCTGGCTGGGGTACAGGGCCGAGTAGGCAGGGGGGGAGCGGACACGGGTGAGGGGTGGGGGGCTGCTGAGGGTCTCTGCATAGGTTGGTGGCGGGGGCAGCTCGGGGGCGGGGGGTTCCTCGGCCGGCTGGGCACTGGCGGGGGATGCCTGGGTGCCGAAGGGTCTGGCTGTCCGGTTCTTCACGGGCTTGGGCTTGGCCAGGGTGAGATGGACCTCGTAGTACTGCCGGCCCTGTGTCCCGTTCTGCTGCCGCCCGCCTGGGGGTGCCATCCCTGTGGCTGTCCCCGCTGGAGCGCTGGGCACCTCGCCGGGCACCTCACTGGGCACCTCCCCGGGCATCTCAGCGGGAACCTCCCCGGGCACTTTGACCTTCTTCCCCTCCTCGGGGCTCTGTGGCAGGACAAAAGCCGCCGTGTTCGGCCCCGCAGGGGCTGCTGCATTTCCGAGCCCCTCCACCCCTCTCTCCATCCCGCTGGCCGCCTGCTCCTGCACGCCGTTGGTGGCGGCCGATGCCATGTTCTCCTTCAGGTAAACGCTGAGTGGGACCTGCTGGGCTTCAGCAGGAAGCTCCTGGCACGGGGAGGCGTTTGCCAGCATCCCTTCTCCTGGGTTGCCAGGCTGGCCGGGCTCCGGCTGCATGCCCTGCCCCTGGCTGTGCTCCATGGCTCCTTGGTGAGGCCGGGGCTCAGGGGGGCTCAGCGGCTGCCCCCCGCCATGCCCGGCCCCCGTGAGCCCCTCGACGCGCTGCCGGCGCCGGTGGAACAGCAGCACGCCCTTGGAGCTGGGGCCGGGCGCCGTGGTGAGCTGAGCCGCGATCCTCTGGCTCCGCGCCTTCGCCTCCTTCAGCTCCTTCTCCGAGAGGCTGGCGCTGCGAGAGAGACCTGGGCACAGAGGAGAGGGGCATTAAGGCTCTCAGAGGGAATGTGGGGTGGCATCCTCCCCGCCCAGGACTGGCAGCCCTTCCTCCGGGTATCCCCCGGCATCCCGACTCTTCCCTGGCAGCGGGGAGATGCGCTGGGGCTGGGATACACGGTCCGGGCACAGCGGGGACCCAGCACAGCCATCACAGAGATGCTGGGACAGATGGGAAAGCTCAGGGGACGCCTAGTGACACTCAGGACCTTTCCACCACCCCAGCCCGTGTTTCGGCTGGGTTCTGCGCGCACACCGCGCTGACCACATGGGAAAGGAATTTCTCGGAGCGGGTCTCGGGTTGCAGCTCCCATGGCTTCGGCCCCGGCTCACTCAGGCAGTGGCGGGGAAGAGGCCAGCGGGTGTCCCCCAGCCCCTCGCCCCGAATCCCGGCACGCTCAGCCCCGAGCGGGCAGGACACAAAGCCGGGGGAGATGCCAGCCCACCCCGACCGCACAGCAAGGCCGGTGGGCAGCCCTGGCGGGGGACTCATGTGCGGAGCAACACGAGATGGCAGCAGCCGACAGAGGCTGTGCAGATCCTGCCCAGCCGGACACAGACACGGACACAGCGAGGAGCCACCCTAAAAGCGATGTGCTAAAAGCCTGGCCCGAGCCCCGCGGCGAGCAGCCCGGTGCCGCTGGGCTCCTCCTGTGCCGGACAAAGGTCAAGGCACCAGCCCTTCCCTGAGACCGAGAGGATGTGGAGCTGCCGGGAATGCATTTTCTCAGCGTGAGCCATTTCCTATGAGCTTGGCCCCCCCGAAAGCGCCCGTGGGAAGGGCAGTGCCCCCCACCCTGCCGAGGCCACTGTTGGGCACAGACACCATCGGCATCAGCCCCGCACCCAGCAAGGGTGCAGCCCCTCTCCAAAGGCACTGCCAGGACGGCTCTGACGGTGTCTCTGCTCTGCTCTGGCCCCAGCAGGAAGGTGGGTGGCCAAGGCAGCCCGCTCCCAGCCCTGCTCTTCTTTCCTTCCCATCCCATCCCTTCCCGTCTTCCCTTCCTTCAATGTGTTCCTCATTTTCTTGCCTTCTGTGCTGCTTGGGACTCTTCCAGGATATTTTCAGCAGTGGCTCAGCCTACCAGCGAGGGAAAGGGATGGATGACTAAGCCAAACCCTTCCAGCAAGCCCACGGTTAGCAGGAGGGCCGCTGGAAGCCGGGCAACTCCTGTTCCTCACCCTTCATCCCTCCTGCCTCCCTCAGCACCCGGCAAGTCCTTGCACACAGCTCAGGTGTGCAGGATGCCCTGCATGAAGTCTTCAGCAGGGTTTTATCTGGGCAGGGGGCAGAGATGCCAGTGGAAACTCGCCTGCAGACGTCGGCAGCGGCGTCGCCGGCGGTCAGAGTCCCCCGTTAGCGCCCAGCATTGTTTTACGCCCCATTTCTGTTTGCTTTGGCGGCGGCACAGAGCGGGGCCGCTGCTTCCTCCGGCCGGGCTGGCTGGAGGGCGGCCAGCACCGCGGCTCCCGCTCCACGGGGTCACCCTCGCCGCCTTTATCTCCGAAACGGAGGAGAAACGCGGCCAAGGAGCCGTCGAGAAAGAAGCCACAGGCTCCAGATGTCTGCGGGTTCCGTGCTCCGAGCGGAGCATCCATCCCCGCTTCCTCCTTAGGCGGCCGGGGCTGCCTAAGAAGCCGAGCTCTCGGCGGAGCCATTTCGCAGCCTCTTGCTCTTGCTACTGCCTTTTAACAGCAAACGAGGGGCCCTGGGGGATCTCCTCCGTGCTGGAGGGATGACTCAGCTCTTGGCCAGCCCGTTCCTGCTTGCACTAGCCGCCAGATACGCTCCCACGTAGCGGGGACCAATACCGGGATTTGCCCGCCGGGATTTTGCCCCGGGTGTCTCCAGGGCATTGCTCGGGGCCAGGGTGTGCTGCAGGGTGGACTCCACCACCTAAAATCCCCTACCTGGAATCCATTTCCATCCACACCCGTCCCCTCCAGTCTCCCAGCAGCCCCCTGCCCACCCAGCGCCGCCCATTCCTGGGCTGGTGCACCTGGGTGCACTGGAAATGAATCCCTCAGGATACTGCTTGGGATGCTGAGGGTAAGAATTGCTCTTCACATCCGATTTTTGTGACACAGATGAAGAGCCCCGAAGGCTCTGGCAGTCCAGAGGAAATTGCTGCAGCCTGAGCCATGGGCTGAGGTTATTCACCCAGTGCTAGAGCCTTTATCCATGTGCCGTGGTGTCTGGAGGGATTCTGTCATCTGGGGCAGCTTCTACACCACACACTCCCCTCCCAGCCACAGGGAACATTCCTTCATCCTTCCCTGCCATCTCCTGCCAGCCCCGGGGGGGCTCAGGTTGGTCCACAGCCCCAGGCAGGCAGGAGGGAATGCACTGAGAATGTCCAGGTGCTGAGGAGGAGAAGGAAAAGGGGTGTGGGGCTCAAGGCAGCCAAAGCCAGGCAGGAAGGAGTGAAAGTAAAATTACTCCATGTGTCCAAGGGCACAGGGAACTGGTTTCCACCCATTATCCTGACCCAGTCCAAAATCCAACAGGTGACAGCTCCTATTTTCCTTCCTATTTTCCTTCCTATTTTCCTTCCTATTTTCCTTCCTATTTTCCTTCCTTCCTTCCTTCCTTCCTTCCTTCCTTCCTTCCTTCCTTCCTTCCTTCCTTCCTTCCTTCCTTCCTTCCTTCCTTCCTTCCTTCCTTCCTTCCTTCCTTCCTTCCTTCCTTCCTTCCTTCCTTCCTTCCTTCCTTCCTTCCTTCCTTCCTTCCTTCCTTCCTTCCTTCCTTCCTTCCTTCCTTCCTTCCTTCCTTCCTTCCTTCCTTCCTTCCTTCCTTCCTTCCTTCCTTCCTTCCTTCCTTCCTTCCTTCCTTCCTTCCTTCCTTCCTTCCTTCCTTCCTTCCTTCCTTCCTTCCTTCCTTCCTTCCTTCCTTCCTTCCTTCCTTCCTTCCTTCCCATCTCCCCTCTCCAAATATCCCATCTTTTTCCAGGACAATGACATCCACCAGCCCTCTCCACTGCCCTGTGCCCTCCTTGTGCCCTCCCTGGGTCTCTCTTGGTCCAGGGATGCTGCAGGAGGTGCTCCCTGTGCATCCTGTGCCCCATGGAACTGCCAGAGTCCTGGCACACAGAGCAGCTCCAGGTGCTATTCTGCTTTAACACACTCCAGCTCTGGCCACAGGAGCCTATAGATCTCTATCTATAGATTCATAGATCACTATCTATAGATTTATAAATCTCTATCTTAAGGTTTATAGATCTCTATCTATAGATTTATAGATCTCTATCTATAGATTTATAGGCAGTTGCTCTGTACGTTTTCCATTGCTCCAGGGGTGACTTCCTGAACATCCCCCAAGTTCAGGGCTTAACAGCTTCTCTGTGAGCTGTCAGCCATCCTTCCCACAGCATGTGCAGTGCTCTCTCCTCCAGAGAGAGGATGACGAAGGTGATGAAAGGCATTTTTGTTACTCTCACTTCCTGGACAGATGGGGGGGAAAAATTCCTTCCATCTCAGCTTTCCATGCAAAGGATGGATCCCCCTGAAGAGTGCTAAAGCAGGATGTCTGAAGCCCAGCCAGGAAAGGCTGGAATCACCATCTGACCCCAAATGGAGGTGAAGGATGTTTCAGACATGGCCTGTGACCCATCCTGCCCTAAGGTGGACTCCAAGAGCTGAAATGGGATGAAGATTTGGCCTTAAATTGCAGTTTCACTGAACTGACAAATTCAGTGATCCTGACATGGCTGGGACATCACAGGAAGGAAAAACAGAGACTTGGAAGCTGTGCCTGGTGAGAAGTCCTTGTAGACAGAAGACAAGAGGTACCCAGGCCTTAATGGGACCTGCAGGGTGCCACAGGTCATGTGAAATCTCAGAGTCAGAGCTGGCAGGTGACTCCAAAGTCTTCAGTTTGGGCTCTGTCCCTGGCCTGCTCCAAGTGTGGATGCTCAGCCACCCTGGGGCTGCTGCCCAGCTTGGCCATGCTCAGGGTGTCCTACCAGACCACCCCTGGACACAGCACCCACCATCCACAACCAGCAGGCACTTTTCCCCATTTCCAAACATTTCTTGGACTTCTGTGGTCAACCCAAACGGTGCCTCTTGCTGGTAAAATCCCACTGGCAAAACCAAGAGCGAAACCAAGACAAACCCCATTTCCAGAGGGACACGCTCTGTGCCACCTGACACGAGCCCCAGAGCACATCCACAGCCAGCAATGCTGGGGAGAGGAGATCCAATGTTTTCACCCAAACCTTGAGGACTTTGGCCACTGAGGAAATGTAAGCAGGTTTTTTGGCAGAGCAGCAATCTGGCCCCTTGCCCCAGCTACAGCTGTGCAGGATTTTTTGCAACGCTTACCAACTCACCCACATTTCAGTCTGTGCACACATTCCCCTCCAGCTCCCAGTTATCCCAAATAATCTGCAGCTAGGAAAACACAGAGGGTAGCACAGACAGGCAGCTGAGCTAGCTAGAAACGGATATGATTCAAACATATGGATAGAAAGATGACAATTTTCTGCCTCATTCCCAGCTTCCAGCCTTCCTATGCCCCAGATACAAAACCTCCATGAGGTTCTCATCCCTGCTGGCCCTGCAGCCCCAAAAAGATCTGGCTCAGGGGGTGGGTGCAGTGGTGGGATCAACCTCTCCTGCCTGGCAGACACTCTGTGCTGGGCCTCTCCACACGGGCGCCTTTGCCAGTGACAAAATGTGGCAGAGCGAGAAAATTCGTTGCGCTTGCAAGTTCTGCCTGTGCTCTGTTCGCAGGGGCTTTGCTGGATTTGGAGCTGTTTGCCTCCCCAGCCGTGGCTGGCACTCAGCACCCAAATCCTGCTGAAATGGCCCCACAGTCTCCAAGCAGCAAGGGCTGGGGCACCCAATTCCCACACAGGGGGAGGAGATGGGGGTGGTGGGGATTGAGTGGGGGCTCTCTGCCCCTGCCCATCCCCAGTTCCTGGGGGATGCAGTGAGCAGCCCCAGCCCTACATGTGTCCACACTGGGCAAGAAGAAGCTGTTGCCATCACACAGGTGGAGGCAGCACCTTCCCCAGCTGGCTAAAATCAAGCTTTTATCTTGGAAAAGGCAGCTGGAGCCGGGCAGACCTCCCCCAGACAGCCCTGCCATCCATCCACCCCGAGGGCAGCAGAACCAGCCCGTCCCACGGCGGGCCGGGTACCACGGGCGCTCCATCCATCCTGCCTGGGAAGTGCGCCCCAGCCCCGCTGTGCCCAAAGCCGCTGGAGCTCTCTGTGACCCGTCCCGGGCTGCGAGGTCCCGGGGCAGCCCCGCCGGGCCGGTGCCCCGAGAAGGTCAAACGGCTCCGAGTGTCCCTGCGGGGTGGGCAGAGCGGGGAGGGCGGCGGAACGGAGCGGGGCCTTTGCCTGTCCCTTGCACAACCCGTAAAGGATCCATCCTGCTGCCTGCCAAGCCCAGGGCCAGACCTCGTGTCCCCAGCATGGGTGGCACGGCCAGGGGAGGTCACGTCCCTGACGCAGCGGACAGGGGACATGGCCTGGGAAGGAGTTCCGCGGAGCTGCCAGGTGTGCGACCCTGCCAGCCCCGAGGGGGACCCCCAGGTCCCTCCGCGTCCCGGCCGTGTGTCCCCGCCGTGCCTCCCACACCCCCATCGGACACCCGGGTGCCGGCCGAGGGAAGCGACACCTGCCCCGCTCATTCCTGGGGACAAACCCCGCTCAGCCCCGGTTGTGTGCGCCCATCGCCCACCCTTCGCCCACCATGGCACCCACGGTACATCTGGGCATGCACTCCCGTCCCCCCCCATGCACCCCGGACCCCCTGCGCGCTGCCATCCCCCGGACACCCCGGACACCCCCAGCCCCTCTGCGTGCCCGCAGCCTCCTTGCCCTGTCCCTTCTGCAGCGGCACCTCCCGCCCCCCGCCCGGAGCCCCCCGGTCGCTGCCCCCGTACCCCTCCAGCCCCACCGTACCCGCGGTGCCGGGTGCCGGTGCCGCCTCCCCGCGCAGCCCGACTGCACCGGGGAGGAGGCGGCGGGCAGGAAAGTTGCGGCAGCTCCGCCCTCGGAGCGGGCCCGGGGGGGCGGCGGGCGGGGGCCGGCCCGGGGGGGTGGCCCCTGCCCCTGCCCGCCCCGACAGACCGACAGACCGAGAGACCGACAGGACGGGACGGGTCCCCCCGCCCGGCCACTCTGGCAGCCGCCCCGCCGCCCCCGATGTTCCTGCTCCGCTGCTTCTCTATCTACATCTGGGTCTCGTCCCGGCGGGGTCTGCCCTGAGCCCGCTGCGGGGGCGGGGAGAAGCCTGGGCATCCCCTTCCCCAGCCTGGGCATTCCCTTCCCCAGCCTGGGCATCCCCTAACCCAGCCTGGGCATCCCCTTCCCCAGCCTGGGCATCCCCTTATCCCATCCTGGGGCATCCCCGATCCCATCCCGGTGCATCCCTCTCTCCCAGCCCTGCACATTCCCTATAACCGTCCTGAGCATCCTCTCACCCATCCCGGGACACCCCCTTACCCAGCCCTTCACCCTTTTTCCCTCCTCCCCCCCCACAGCACCTCACGTTTCAGACGCTGCTGGGGGTGTGGAGCCTCCCCTTCCCGCAGGTTTCCTCAATGCTAACGTTTTGAAGCACTTGGAGGGAGGCAAAAATCCAGAGACAAAAACCCAGCACGGGTGTCACTGCCCTGGGGACCTCCTGGGAACAGCCCTCAGTCCCCTCTGCCAGGGCTGGGCTGCTCCCAAGGGAACCCCAGACGATCCCTGGGGAGGCAGCATCATCTCCACCACCCCTCTAGGGCTGCAGAGCTCCCTGGCTGCGGGTGAGACCGGCCTCACCCCCTTCCCATGCCTGTCCACACCTCAGGATGAGCTCTTGGCTTGATTTTTTGCCTTTCTAATTTCCTTTCTTCCTGCCCCTCTGTGCTTTTTTGTGCTTTCCTGGTTTTTGAGGGAGCCTGGCGCTGGCTCTGCAGCCCCCGGGGAGTGAAACCTCCGTTTATTTGCACACCAGACGGAGAAACCAGTCCTGCCTCCTGCATCTCCCAGCCTCTGCCTCTTCCCGGGGCTCCTGTGCTCCCCAGCCTGCCCTGAGAGGTGCCAGCCAGCCCGGGCTGCCGTGCTGGATGTTTGAGAGCAGCCAGCCTGGCCCTGGGCTGCTGGATGGGGACCAAAGGGGCACCTGGGACCCGCCTGGGTGGGTCCACACAGCTCAAGGTGGGGCACCCGTTTGGCTCCTGGCTCCCAGGGCCAGCCCTGCACCACTCTGGGTGTGGATGGATGTGCCCTCTTCTCCTGAAGAAGCTGGAAAAGGTGGAGGGTCCTGTAGCCCATGGCAGCTAAAGAGAAGAGGAGCAAGCCCCTGACACCTCCCAGGGATGCTCCTGCTGCAGGAACAGCCCTAGAGCCACTTGTGAGGGCACTGCCCTTTCCTCTCACCTGCACTGCTCCAAAGCTCTGTCCCCCAGAGCTGCAGGCTTTTGGCAAGGTCCCTGCTCCCAGGACCCTCGGGGACATCCTGCCTGCAGGCTCTGGAAAGTCTGACGGGTCCTGCAGGCAGTGGCTGCTGGTGATCTCACTTGGAGGGGGAGGAAACGGGACAGACAAACTCTTTCCAACAAACCTGTTGAGTTACTTTAAAATTCCAGGCTGGCAGCAAAAGTGCTGGATGGCTGCATGGATTAGGAAAATGCTGAGCCTGGACAGAGTCAGGCCTGACCTTTCCCCACCACAGATCTGCCATCCCAGAGCAGTGAGAAATGGGAAGACTATTTGGGTCCATCTGGTTTGTGTGCTGAGCCCTGAAACACGATGCTGCTGGGGCAGCTGTGAGCCAAAGGGCTTGGCTGAGCTTCCCAGCCCGCGTCCCATCCAGGGGCCGCTGCTTTGGAGGATGCCTGACACTGCAAAAGGGCAGGGAGTGGGTTCTGCACACTGGGTTCGTGTCAAGCACCCCCAGTCGGTCCCACCCAGTCCTGGGGGCTGCCTTGGGAGAGCCAGGCTCTGAGCTGAGCAGCAGCATCCCATAATGCCACCCCCCCACGGGGACAGGGACACACCTGGCACGGTGTGGCAGCTGAGATAACAGCTGGGCAGGAGCAAAATAGAAATCAGGGTGGAAGAGGGGTTTAAAAATGGGTCCAATGCCTGTAAGAGGATGGGTGCTGTGGGAGCATCTCCCACAGGGACGTGGGGCATCCCAGGCATGGCAGCAGCCCCAGGAACCCTCGGTATGAGCCTGTGGTTGTGTCACTGTGGCTGAAGGGACAGTCATGGGGGGAGGAATAGCTGTGGCACGGGGCTGTGAAGTGAGGAGATGGCAGAGAGCATTGGAGGAACCAACCAGCCCGAAATAAAGCACTTGGTTTTTAAACAGGGGCTGACAAAAATGGCCGAAAGCCATGTGAGAAACACTTGGCCATCCCAAATCAATGGAGGAGAGGTGTCCCTGTCCCAGACAGTGCACGGGAGCTGGTTCTGATCACTCTTGGGCAGGATCCCACCAAGCCCCATGGCCAGGGTGAGGGCTGGGAACTCCATCCTGGTCATGCCCCACTGAGGGATGGGCTGAGCTCCTGCAGACAGTGGGAACCCGCCTGCTGCCTTCCCAGCCCCCTCCCGAGAAAATCCACAGATTCCTCCTTATTTTTAAGGCCAAAGAGATCATCTCAAGCTAAATTAGTCCCAGCAGCTCTGCTGGAAGCCTGGAACCTCTAACCCAGGGAAAGTCCTGCCCTGGGAAGAGCTGGGTGTTCTCACTAGGAGCACAGTAGTGCCTTTCCAGGGGGGACAGTGGCCAAAGGGGGTTTCTCTTACCTGTTTTCCTTGGCTCCAAGTCAGGGTTGATGAGAACCCGTTGGATCTTCACCACTTTCCACTCCTGGCTGGGATTGTCTGCTGTGGGGGGCAGCTCTGGGGCAGAGCCAGGGCACCTGGGGGGGGCTGCAGGCTCCTCTGCCAAGGCCAGGCTGCTGCCATTCAATGGGGGCTGTGGTGCATCCCCATTGAGCCCCCTGAGGTCCCTCTGGCAGCTCCCATTTGATTTCCCTCCCAGCAGTCCCGACCGTGCCTCCTGCTCTCCTGCCTCTGGAGCACCCCAGAGCTGAGGGCAGCTCTGCCCCCCTCTGCTGCCCCTCTCCTGCCAGCAGCCACTGTCCCCCTCAGGGTCCCCCTTGGCTGTCCCATGGACACAGGGGGGCTGCTCAGCCTCGTCAGGCACAGGGCAGCCGGGCTGGGAGTGGAGGCAGAACTGCTGCAGCCTTGTCCTCAGCATCTTTCTTCACTGATTTCCTTCACTGGCACTCCACAGCCTTTCCAAACAGCTCTGCATAGCCAGGGGGGTGGATCCTCCCTCAGAGCATGGGCAGCATGAGGGAGGGCAGCCACTGCTCCTGCAGGAGGATCAGGCACGATGCCACAGGAGCAGGCAGGTTTTGGAGACCTGGATGGAGGGAAGTGTCCAGGGCAGGCAGGCCAGCAGGGAGGATTTTGCATGAATTTCTCTTTTCCAGGCAGAGGACCAGCATCCAAAGACCTGTGTGAAGGGAAGGAGGAGTGTTGAGGATGCTTGTGCTTGCACTGATTTCCTATGGCCATGGGGCAGCTCCCAGCAACCCCAACCTGAACTCCAGCTCCAGCACCACTTGCCATGAGGAAGAACCCCCTGAGATGCAATTTGGAAATGCCCCAACCCCACCACCGTGCTGGCCACCCCATGTCCATCCATCCTCACCCTGGGGACAGCACCCTGTGCCCGGCTCCCCTCACTCTGTCAGACCAGATGTGGCACCCCTGCCAGTGCTCAGCACTGTGGCACCACTGCTCTGCAGCTGGGAGTGTCCAGCCAAGAACCAAACCCCTGAGGATGTTGCTCAGGGTTATCAGGAACAAAAAAGGGAAAATTTCCAGCATGCAACTAAACTGTGTTTAACCATTGAGTGACTCATGCGGCGTCAGGACAAGCGCAGACAGAGCCACTTCCCTCCTGCCAGGCACAAATCCTGCTGGGATGACGGAGCCAAGCCCCAACACAGAGGAGTTATCAGCTGGGAGAGGGGGATGTCATCTCTCCCAGAACAGGATATGGGCAGCAGTGCACGGAAATTCCTGTGAGCCCTCTCACACAGCATCACCCAGCCCTGCTCACGGCAAGGCTGGTCCTGGGAAGCACCTCCTGGGAGATCCACAGCACCCAAGGCACGTGGAGCATGATGGATTTCCCAAGCCCACAGCCAGCTGGGGAGGAAAAGGGGTTCCTGCTCATCCCACACCCCTCCCTGAGTTATTGTGAGGTTTCTCAGTGAAATAAGAAAAAGCACCAGGTCAACATTGCAGGTTAAGCTCCGGCAGGAATACACCCTGCAGCTTCCTCGGGGCTCACACAGCTTCTCTGCAAAACTTTTCCTGTCCTTAGCAAGGTTATTTTGGAAAAGAAGGCAGATTAGAAAGCAGGCGCTCGGGCATTTCCCAAACACAAGGCTGCATTTTTTGGAGAACGCCCAAAGGAAATCTTCTGCCCTTTTTGAAATCCTTCCTCTCTGCTGCAATTATTCAGCACAGATTTGCAAAGAGAACCTGAGGAGAAAATGTCAATGTTTCTCTCTGAAAAAGAAATTTCACTCTCCTCTTTACGTAATTTGGGGGATCAATAGTTGCAGGAAGCCACCCACATCTTTCCTTAGAAACATGGCAAGTTGTTGGAGCTGGAGAAAGCCAGATTATCTCAAATGAGGACAAAGAGAAAGTTGCCCAAAATAGCCCCAGCCCAGCGTGGGTGGGCAGAGAACCTCTCAGGGTGGATCTGCATCTCCCCACTCCCATTTCCTCACCCCATCCCAAGGGAGCAGGTTTCTGGGGCAGCACGACCATGTCCATCCAACACCAGAGTTGCCTTGACAGTTTGCTGGGGGAGCTGGAACTCCCTGAAAGCATCTTTCAGAGCTTCCCTTCCATGTGGGAGCGCCTTCCACGCACGGGCATCTCCTGGGAGTGACACCCACAGCCCTGGGGCTCCCCAGGCAAACCCTTCCTGCTGACACCCGGGCTGTGGTGCTCCCTGAGGACACTCTGCTGGGACAGGGCTGCCCACAGCCCCAAAATACTGAATCAGGCCTCTGCTGCCCTGCTGGGAGCCAGCCTGGGCCTGGCACAGAGGTGGGGAATGGTGGCAGAGCTATGGAGAGCAGCCTCCTTCCCCCCAGGACACAGCTCCTGGGCTCTGCCAGCAGCACAGGAGGGGAATATTTATGAGTACCATGGATCTCTAGCAGAAGCTGCTGGGCTGATCCTGCCTGTTGGAATACCAGCCAGGTAGGATGTGTGTGAATGCCTTGGATGCATCACTGTGCTGGCAATAACAGGCAGCAACAGCAGCCATAGCCACAAAACGAGGCTGAGATAGCCCCCAGCTGCAAGCAAAGGCTGTAAAGAGGGATGAGGGTCATTTCAGACAGCATTTCAGGGGTGCAGCTCCAGAGGACGCCCAGACTGGGCAGCCGTGCCCAGCTCAGAGTCCCAAGAAGCAGCTGCTCACTGTGTCCATCTGAGAGGCTCCTCAAGCTTTGTGGAGTCCCTATGAGAAGCTGCAAAATGGTGCTGGGGAGGGAGTAACAACAACAACAACAACAACAACAACAAATCCTTCAATTCACAAAGTGTTGAAATCTGGCAGCAAGGAGATCTTTTGCTCGGCTTCTCTTCCTGCCCACTCGCTGGCGAGGGATGCACAGCCCCCCCACCTGCCTTTCTCACACCCTGACACCCTCCCCCCCCCAGCTATTGAAAAAAGGAAAACTAAAGTTAACTTTCCACGTCCCACACAAATATTTTTGGCAGGCGTTGCTGGCATTCAGGCTGCTGAGCCCGGGGGAGACGGGGTCTGCTCAAAGTCTTTGTCTCCATCTGCTCCCGGCACCCGCCTGGGGGTCTGGGCGGGTCTGTCCCAGACACAGCGCAGGGGCAGGAGGTGGCACAGCTGTAAAAAACGGGGGGCACCGCCAGGACAGCCCTGGGGACCGTGAGTGACCCAGCCACGGGAGTGCCATGAAGTGCGGGGCAGATTCACACCCAAACTTTGGCCCTGTCCCCGCTTTCCCGTGTTGCTCTCAGCCACATCCCTGCCCCACGCTGGGTTTTCATCACCATGAAACGAGCCGGGAAGGGCTGTGAAAGCCGTCCCCAGCCCCGCTGGGCTCTCGGGTTTCCAGGGTCAGGCAGCGGGTCGCTGTCACTCAGGCAGGACCCTGCTGCCCAGACTTGCAGTCCCCAGCTCCGGTCACAAGATCGGCGCAGTCCCTTTCCAAAATAGCCCAGCTGCAATGAATACATCTGGGGAGCTTTACACCTCCCCTGTGCCAGCAGCTGAGTGTCCCCTCAGGGGAGCTGGGCACCTTCCTTCTCCACGTGGCACCTTCCTCCCGTGGCTGCATCCCTTAGGAGAGGGGTGGCTGCATCCCCCGGGGCAGCCCCACATCGCTGTAAGGGAGCTCTGCCCTCTCAGCTGACACCGGAGACACCTCGGGTGTCACCAGCAGCATTTGGCTGCCCTGTACACAGCCACGCTCCCGTCTGCTGCAATCCAATATCGCTGCCGGCTCCCTGGATACCTGGCCAGGAGGGCTGAGCTGTGTGCTGGGGCAAGGCACAGCCGAGCTGCCTGTGTCCCCTGCACAAGGACCCCCCTGCTAAACCCTGCAGGTGTCACCTGTGCCACATCCTTCCACGGCAGAGCCAGGCTGCTCACAGCCAGAAGGGGATGGCAGCAGGAGGGACTCAGCTGGGCTGTGCAGGATGGAGGGAGGGGGGAAAGCCTCTGGCAGGGTCCAGTGCTCAGGGAAGGGGCACAGGGAAAGAGGGATGGATGTGATTGCCTCCCTCGGCAGGACAGGGGATGCCTGCCCCCTGAGGAGCAATGGCAGTGTGGACAGGGATGGCTTCGTCCCTGCTACTGTCCCTGCAGGCACAGCAGCGTGCTGGGGAAAACAAAACCCTTTTGCAGCGCTGATTTACTACCTGACGGAAACCAGAATGGAAAAAACAACATTCCTGAACTCCTGTCCCCGTGCAACCCTTGCGATCAGCAGCACCCCGGCCGGCCGGCAGGGACACGGGCTGGACACGGGCTGGACACGGGCTGGAATCGGGCTGGACACGGGATGGACACGGGCTGGACACGGGCTGGACACGGGATGGACACGGGTTGGACACGGGATGGACACGGGCTGGACTCGGGCTGGACACGGGATGGACACGGGCTGGACACGGGCTGGACACGGGATGGACACGGGCTGGACACGGGCTGGACACGGGATGGACACGGGTTGGACACGGGATGGACACGGGCTGGACTCGGGCTGGACACGGGATGGACACGGGCTGGACACGGGCTGGACACGGGATGGACACGGGCTGGACACGGGATGGACACGGGATGGACACGGGCTGGACACGGGATGGACACGGGATGGACTCGGGCTGGAGCCGGGCTGGACACGGGATGGACACGGGATGGACACGGGATGGACACGGCATGGACACGGGATGGACTCGGGCTGGAGCCGGGCTGCCGGTGCCTGCCCTGTGCCCGCATCCCGCGCCCGCAGCTGCTGGGGAGAGGCAGCAGGGGAATGCTGGGGATGGGCACGGGGGCTGCGGGCACGGGGGCTGCGGGCGGGATTCAGCGCTGAGCGAGGCGAGGAGGAGGAGGAGGAGGATGACAGTGGCATCCCGGCCAGCTGGACCATGTCCCCTCCCAGGCTGGAAGGAAGGGCTGGGTGCGGGCAGTCCCATCCCTCTGCGCTGCTGCACAGCTCCTCCAGCCCCGGGCTCGTCCCTCCGTGTTCAGGGGCACTGGAGCTCTCCCTGGGCAGCTCCCTGGGGGCAGGGGCTGCCAGGCCCTGGGCAGGGCAGGGCAGGAGGATGGGGGGCAGGAAGGGGATGCTGCCCCTTGGAGGGCAGCACGGTGCAGGCTGGGCTGTGCTCAGGGTGAAATGTGTTTGTACCCCAGCACAGCCATCCCAGCCCAGACCCACAGGCTGTTTGCCCCACTCCACCACCTCCATTCCATGGGGGTTTTGGTCAGGTTTTGGTGCTCAGCACACCCACTCCCCTCCTCCCACTGCTTAGCCCATGTTCCAGCCCCAGTCCCCAGGAAACCGTGGTGCTCCACAGGGTTTGCATCCATCAAACATCAGTCTGTGCACTCCAGCCAAGCAGCACCGATCCTGCTCTGCCCTCCTGGCTGGGTTCAGCAGTGAATCTTCCCCTTCCTGCCAC